TTTTTTTGGTTGTTCTTTATTTCATGATCGATCCAAAATACGAACCAAAGAATGAATTTGATCAGCTTATGATTAACTGTGTTTTTTTTTGTTTTTTGTTTTCTAATTCTTATTTTGTGTGTGTGTGTGTGTGTATATGATAGTGCTCAAAGTCTTTGTTGTTTCATTTGCTATTGGTGTGGATCTGGTGGACATCAACTAACTGAGAATCAAAGACTGATGATGATGATGATGATGATTATACCGGGCTTTATATAAAGGATGTCATTTTATTGTTGTTGTTTTTTTTGTGTGTTGCAACTTACAAAAAAAAACAGTCGGTTTGGTTTTTTTTCCGACCAGAAGATCATTATTTTTTTTTGGTTTTTTGGTAATATTTCATAATATCATGTGTATAATGAAACATCTTTGGCCATTTTTGTAGCTGATGATGATGATGATGATGATGATGAAAACCTGAATTATTAATACAAATAATCATAGGGCTTTACTTCATTTATGTTGTGTTGTTGTTTATTATTATTATTATTATAGATAAAACCAGATTCAGGATTTAAACATGATGATGATGATGATGATGATGAACATGGTAAAATCACAATCATAATATAATCTGGCCCATATATATTTCTATTATATCCAGTGGTAGATAACATAACAACAACAACAACAACAATGATGATGATGATGATGATAAAGAAACATTAAATCAATGTATATGAGGTAATCTAAATCAGTAAATCATTTTTGTTCAATAAATAAAATCATGAAGAGAGAAATGGATACCGATTTTCAGTTTTTTTTTCTTGATTATTTCCAACTGATCCAAAATGGAATTGAAACAAAAAATTTTTCAATGAAAATTAATGAAATGTAATCCATTTAAATTTTCAACAAAATGATTCAATGATCTGATGCTTTTGGATTCTTGGTGTGCGAAAAAAAATGTCAATATTGTCGATATTCTCAAAGTATTAACGTGTATGTCGATCGAATAATTGTCAGGTATTTTTCAAAAACGATGAAGTAGAAGAAGAAGAAGTGTGAAGAAAAACTTTGAATTTAGTTTCCTGTATCAACATTATTATTATTATACTTCAATGATAATGATGATGATGATGAGACTTTGAAAAGAAAACGCTGAATCCCCAAAATAAAATAAAAACATTGTTCTTGTCGTGTTTTCCGTTGTTGTTGTTGTTGTTGTTGTTGTTGTTCACATGTCTTGTTTCATAATCTCTTTAGTTTGTTTTTTTCGTGTATTGTTGATAAAATCCATATATCAGTGAAAGAGAAAAAAAGTGTGTGAATGATGATGGTGAAATAAGAATCGACAAGAAAAAAAACCTGAAAATAATAGTGAATTAATCTAGATTAACATGTTCGACATGTTCGACAACAACAGTGAAAAAAAAAAAAAAAAGTGAAAGACAGACGAAATGAAAAAAAAAAATAAAGAATTTTTCTTGTTTCACAAACATTTGTGTTTTGTTTTTCGATTATTTTTTTTCTGTTCTCATCGAGATCATTTCATTTCATTTCATTCATTCATTCATTCATTATCATCATCATCGGTGAATATACGACGCAAAAATCCAATATCAGTTGTTTTTTCTTGGTTTATTAGTTGTATATTTTATTCACATTTAATTTCCTTTCGTTTAGTTTTTTTTTTTGTTGTTCTTCATTCTGTTCATGTTCATTTCAAGTAATCATGATCATATCATCATTATTAAGATTTCATTGAAAACGAAACAAAACGAATAGAAAAATAACCCGGTCATAAGAAAGTGTGGATCGGATTTCATCTACAAAGTATACAAAGTTAATACTCCAGTAGCTCGGCATCCATGAATGTTTTTTTTTTTTGTTTGACAGCATATCTTTTGGTTGAATTATCCGGAATGTTGAAGAAAAAAAAAATGTTGTTAATGAACTTACGCACACATTATTCAGTGAAGACAAAAAAAAGAATAATCAAAGAAATGAAGAGGAAATAATCCACAAAATCGATGGATTTAATTAATCAATCTCAGTTTGTTACAGTCACACCATTTTTTTTTTTTTTTTGGATTAATTCTTATCTCCAAATTTACCATTCACTACATTGCATTTCAATGTGTAATTAAATTCCAATGATGATGATGATGGTCGATATGTGTGGTCTATTTAATGATGGTTTTGCTTTGGGTAAATATTCTGCAAATTTTTCAAAAAAACGCACCTAAATATTCAAAATACAGAAAAAAAACCAGGAAAAAACAAAATCCAATTTCAGGGATCGATGAAATCAAGCGAAATGACTGAAAAAAAAAAAAAAAAAACACAGCAAAGATAAATCAAATTGATTCTGACATTGCATTAATGTTATTGTATTTTTTTCTGTTTGTTTGAAAAACGATGAAAAGCAAGCAAGAAAATGAAAAAAAAACAAAAATGAAAATAAAAACAAAACAAAAAAAATCTATAAAATTTGATAATAATTTCACTTTCAAATACGTTATCTCTGTCAATGGGTAAATGGATTTTTACATTTTATCATCAGAACGAAAAAAACAAACAAACGTAGATGAAAAAAAAAATTCATTCCATTTGGATCAAAAATGTTTATCAACTGAAAACGAAACAAAAAAAAATCGATTGAACTGTGAACATGAAACGCATTCTTGAAAAAAAAAACGACGACGACGACGACGATGATGATCAGTAAAAAAAAACCGTCAAATGTGATTATCTTCAGAATCGATATACGATTTCCTTTGCTTTTTTTCTCCAGTTTCATTGTGATCTACAAATCGAAAAAAAATAAACAAGTCAACGATGCAAAAAAAAACCATTCACATGAACGTACATTGTGATGATAATAACAACACACATTTGACCTTTTTTCACAGCCACTGTTTATTTGATTTGATTTCATTTGATAATTTGTATTGTAATTTTATTGTATGAAATTATCATTCATTTGTATTTATAAATGGTTATGATACATTGATTATTCAATGCGATAAATGCCATAACAACAACAAAAACAACAACAGTGAAAATGAACTTCATTTTTGCTGTTTCATTCGATGCAACTAGCAATGGACTTTTGTCATTTCAAAAAATTTTTTTTGGTTTCGTGTCCATTTCATCATTCAGGAATCGGGGTTTTTTGATTCTTTTTCTCTCTCTCTCTCTCTACATATTCTTACCGGCAGTTGATGATGATGTTTTTTTGTATCCGATATTTGAGAGACAAAATGAAAAAAAAGATACAGTAGTCCAAAATTAACAATCAAAAATTGGCAAAAGAAAAAAAAACATTAGAAAACACTTAAGTCAATAAATCAAATGAAACAAAAAAAACAGCACATGAAGAAATCGGACAACAAATGAAACTGGATTCGAAATGAAAAAAAATGTGATGAAATTTTTTTTTTTTGTTTCTCGAAATGAAAATAAAAACCCGTTTGTCAAGTTACCGTGTCTTTTTTCTCTTGGTTTTTTTTCATCATTCAAGAATGACGAATTTCATTACACGATTTTCCAAAAAAAATTATCATTTTGAAACTTTGGAGATGGCGATGAAAAAAATCCAAAACTTCAAAGCAATAAAATGAAAAAATTCAGAAACAAAAGACAAACAAGCATTTTGAAATTAAAGTTTGATGATGATGATGATGAAAATGTTGATATCTTGATTTTGAATCAAGCTCTAACACGAAAAATAGCTAAATCTTCGCCATAACCGTTTTTTTCGTGTATTGGTCAATCTATAGAATTTCTATAGAATGCCGGACAAGACAATACAATTTTTTCAATATTCGAAATGGAATAAAATTTTTCACTTTTTTCCCTTTTAAAATTGTCATTTAAATTTTTTTTCTGTCTCAAAAAAAAAAAATTCGTATTTGATTTATCAATGTTTGTTTATCAACATTTGTCTTTTAGTTTGTTTGCATTCGTTTCATTGATCAATGAAGAATTGTGTGTGTGTGAATAAAAGTGCGAAATTTATTTATTCGGAAACATATGACAAACAATTTTTCAATGATGAAAAGTTAAACGATCATTTTTTTCCCTCGATGGTGTATATTTGTTCACAAATGTTTGTTAACACACACACACGGAGAAAAACACGGGCAAACAACAAACATTCGAATAGATTGGCCAACCAAATAACGATGTACGACGACGACGAAGATCATTTGTAGATGGAAAAATAGAAGTAAAAAATTTCAATAATAGATTCTAAATGTGAATCCAACAATTCTGATTCTGATTCTAATTCTGATTCTGATGATGATGATGATTTGATTTGTAAATGTTCAAATATTAGAACTACTACTATCTCACAGTTTTCGAATATATACATCATTTACTTGTGATTTTGCTGCTGCTGCTGGTATTTGTTGTTTTTGTTGTTGTTTGCAAATTCACCAAAAAAAAAAAAGAATTTATTCCATTTTGATGAGTTGAATTTGTTTTTGAACACTTGAAAATCATCATATTTGTAGAATTTTATTCCCGTTGTTCAACAACAACAACAACAACAACATTTCTTCGGTAAACATACACACACACACAGGATGTGATGTATAGATGTGTTCCAACATTGGAACATTTTTCTCATATGTGTTTGATGTAAGTATTTATGCAGTCAAAATTGATTTGAACGTTTGTGCATGTGTGTGTATGTTTACATTCACAATGATTGTGTAGAAAAGAAATAACAACATGAACTCAATCGACTCATCTTGTCATCATGAATCATCATCGTTATCGATGTATAATCCTGTCAACAATCGATTAATGATTGATGTTAATCATATGATGAATCCACAACAAAAAGAATATTTTCGTTTCATATCAATTAAAAACGTTTTTGTTTTGAAAATTTTTTTTTATTTATTCACCAGAAACACAAACAACAGATAAGAGAAAAATCCGGAACAAGAAAAAAAAACAATTGAAAATCATATCAATCATATCAATCAATTTATACAATTGTGGAAGCAAAGGAAAAAAATTTGTAATAATAAATCAAAAAATACAAAATGGTCGGCAGCAAAAAAAAAACTATGTTTATGGAGATAGATAAATATATCACTTTTTTTTTGTATTTTCATTCATGAGTTTTTGGCAATGGAATCTGTGTGTAAGTGTGTGTGTTTGTTTTCTACAAATTCATTGAGGTTGAGGTTTTTGTTGTTGTTGTTGATGAAGAATATTGATAATGTTACCTTGTTGTTGTTGTTGATGTTGTTGTTGTGGCCTAACAATACCAAATGTTGTCATATATGCATTACATGGTTTTGTCGTCATTGTTGTTGTTGTTGTTGTTGTTGTCGTCGTCGATGATAATAATGGCTGATGATATGTAGATTTTTTCATCATACAAGTTTCATCACCAATTATATCGATCATTTCAATTTCTGGATTAAGACTTGATATTAGATTTGCCTGTTGCTGCTGTTGTTGTTGTTGAAAATGTTCACGTTTAATCTGTTCAGGCATCTGATATAAATGTGATGATTGTGATGGATTATTTAAATGATTAAGTTGTTGTTGTTGTTGTTGTTGTTGATGATGAAATGAACGTGTTTGTAATGTTTTAAAATATTGTCCAATCAATGGATCACGATGATCAAATATTGGTTCAAAACAATAACTTTCATTTGATTGATCTTGATCCTGTTGTTGATGTTGGTTAACCGTTGTAGCTGTTGTTGTTGTTGATGTTAGATCAATCGTTTCCAATAGATTTGTTTCACCAATCGATTGTTTCATTACGGTTCGTTGATGATGTGGACTTTTATGAAATGTTGCCGCTTTATTTACTAATAATGATTGTTGATGATTTCCACCAATGGCTGTTGCAAAATTTGTCTGTTCATAAAGTGGTTCCGTTTCGCCATTATTTATTATCATGCCATTATTTTTTTCATAACTTAAATGTACTTTTCCATTCAATTTTGTTGCATTCATTAATGATGTTGATTTTTTACATATACCATTACTATTCGGATAGGAACTAAGTGACATTTCATCTAAACGTGTACTTGATCTATGAGAACAATCTATGATGTGAAAGAAAAAGAAAAAGAATTTAAAATGAAAAATATTTTGGACATGCAATACAAAATTACACACACACACATACATGTATCATCGTTGGCAATCTGCAGTGCTTCCTGTCGTATACGCATTACATACAAAAATATTGATGTCGAAATGACAACAATCAAAACGATGATCGTACAAATGGCCGGTATGAATATCATTGGATCATCAAATAATGTACCAATAATTGTTACGGCTCCAGTAGTTCCAGTATTTGTTGCCATTCGTGATTCAAATGCATGTAATGGTTCAACAGTGGCACCGATTTCCGTCAATGTAGCAAAACTATATTCCGATTCACGTTTACCAGCATCATTTTGTGCTGCTATTATTAAATCATGCCATGTTCCTGGTAATAGATCACGAATAATGAGTTTTTCTTTTTCAGGCATCAGATGTGTGGATAATGTGATCCATCCACCACTATTTTTATTATTATTATTATTATTGGATGATCCTATTAGGTTACGATGATAATGACGTCTTGTACGATATTTAATACTATAACCGGTGATTGGACAGCCACCATCTGACCAAAGATCCAAATTGATAATTACAAATGTTATGTTCGATATGATAAAATGATTGCCATATTTATCCGGTGGTATTGGAGCTATTTGAAAATGAATTTTTTAAAATTAGTAGTAGAAATTAATTAAATTTTCCATTGTTCAACATAACATCAAAAAGGGAAAGAAAATCATTCAAGTTGCAGCTAGTAAAAAAAAAACTTACGACTTCCAAGCGTTGAAAATCGAATCATTTCCGATGGTCTTCCGCTACCCATTTCATTGAATGCTTCAATACGTGTAACATATTCACTACCACAACGTAAATTACGTAACATAAATGATGATGTTGATGATGAACTAATTGTAATCGATTGCCAATCTTCTGTACCAATATTATTATCATCAATAACATAATTTTGTGCTAAATGATATGAAATAACAAAACCATCCACTAATAATGGGCCATTATTATCTTGTTGTTGTATTGAATTGCCATCTTGACCAATCAATGCCATCGAAGATGATGATGATGATGATGATGATGATGATGACGATGACATAAGATAAATACCATCACGTGAAATGATCGATGTATAATCCCATGAAAGTAATGCTTCATGTGTGGATACATTTTCAATACGAAAATTTGGTGGTCTTGGTGGATCTAATATATGAATGAGAATGGTTGCACATGTTGTTTTGTTCGTTTTGTTTTGTTTGGTACAAAATATAATTTATTTTAAAGTATGAAAAAAAAATGAAAGAATGAATTCATCGTTAATCATCATCATCATCAATCAGAAATCAACCATTACTTACCATGAGCAAATGTACGAGCAGTAATCTCAATCGATGATGGTCCGGCACCTTTTTCATTGAATGCCTGTACAATGAATCTAAATGGGAACAACAACAACAACAACAAAAAATAATAAAAAAAAAATGGATGAGAAATTTCTGTTTTTTTCTTTCCGAAAATTAATGAAAAAAAAACAATCACAATTTAATAGGATGAAATGAAATGAAACATGAACAACAACAAACAAAAAAATGTAATAATAACAAACATATAACAAGTTATATTGTATTGTTATTATTATCATTGTGTGTGTGTGTGTGTGATGGTGGTTTTTTTTTGTTATATAGGTGTATTATTATACAGGAACTATGGTCTTTCGGTCTTTGATACGAAAAAAAAAGAGAATCCCCTACTACCAACACCCAAAAATAAAAACCTCGACCAGTTATTTTGTTCTGTCATTATTTTACTGAAAAAAATAAAAATGAATGAATGATGGAGAACATGAAAAAGATGTCTGATAACAATAACAATACACACGCTGTATGGTTACAAATTACCAAGTTTTATAATTAGATTTTTTTTTCATTGTTATTTTCGTTGTTGTTTTTGTTGCAATGATCCAATGGATCAGTGTAGGTCATATCATCATAGACAATATATATATAAAAATAAATGACCAAAGCTCTCTCTCTCTCTCTCTCTCTCTCTCGTTTGTTGAGATAAATAATTTATAATTTTTTTCACTTCATTTATCATTAAAGTAGAAGGAAAAAAATTTTTTTCTGTTCTAATCTAACTGGCATTTTCAGTGTTTTGTTTGATTCTACATTCATTTTCATTTTCATTAAATTTGAACAGGAAAAAAAATTGGTTTTTTTTTTGAAATTAAACCAGTTGATGAAATAATATGATGATGATGATCACTTACTGATACAATGTTTGTCGCTGTAATGTATCGATTATATGTTCATAATATTGATGAAATGGTGATGTTGTTATCATCATCGATGTTGATGTTTGATCCATTTCAATTGATGTAGATTGATTATTTAATTTGATTAGAAATGAATTTGGTGTCGATTTTGTACGTATACCACCACCACCACCATATGATGATGATGATTGTTTCCAATTATTATTTCCAATAGTTGACATTTTTGAATATAATGGCTGTATTGGTGTATTCGATATGGTTTTATATGTATACGACAATGATTGATGATTATTGATACCGGCTAATGTGATGATGATGATGATGATGATTGTGATTGTTGACTACCAGCAACGTTACTGGTTTCCGGTGATGATGATGATGAGGTTGAAATAATACGATAACCAATATAAAAACCATCAATTATTTCAATATCACTAGTAGTAGTTGTAGCAATTGATGAATCGGACGGATGTGACTGTTGTTGATGAGATGATTGTGGTGATGATGGTGGTGGTGGCGGTGGTAATCGTATCGACCATGTAAGACGTATTGCATGTGTGCTTAATGGTACGGCACGTACATTGTCCGGCATAACTGTAGGTGCTGTTTTGTTGTTGTTATTGTTGTTGTTGTTGTTATAATTTCCCGATCCAATGAAGAAAAATGAGAAAAAAACAAAAAAAAATTAGTTTTCATTTTTCAAATAAATTTTCTTTCAGAATACCGTATTCCAACCAATTCTTTCTCTCTATCTCTCATACATGCACACGGGAAACTAAGCTAAGTGTGTGTTTAACACAAAGTTAAACAACAATTGTCAGTGAAATAAAAAACTATTTGTTTGTCGGTAAAACTTTTTGTTGTTGTTGTTGTTGTTACAATTGAATAATGAATGAACCGATTCCATTTAGAATTGATTTTGTTTTGTTTTGTTTTTTTTGTCATAATTACCTTCCATCTGTGTAGTCAATGTAATTGAACGTGAATGTTCACTAGTACCTAATTCATTGACAAATGATACACGAAATTCATATGGTGTCAATGGTTGTAAGCCATGTATGGTCACTGTATTTGTATTGGATTTAATCATCAATGCATTATGCCAGGTTTTATCTATAAAGTCGTAAAATGAATGTAAAAAAAATAACAATTAATAATGTTGATGACATTGTACCATTTGTAAATTGAACTTACCAGCTTCTTTTTTATATTCAATATTCTGTGATAATAATGGTAGATTTCCAGTATAACCAATCGACCATGTTAATGTTACTGTACGGCTACCAACTTCAATTGCTTTCAATGATTCCGGTGCATCAGGAGATTCTAATACATGTAGCATAACAATACGATGTGTTATGCCAAAAGAATTTCGTGTCAAACAAACATATTGTGCCGTATCGGATCGGCCAACATGTTTAAACAATAAATTTGTTGTACGTTCACCAAATTGTTTACCCATATCCATTGATGATGATGATGATGATGATGATTTACCATGATTTTTTCCGGCTAATATAGTACCAGTACCGGATGATTCAAATATACGAAATGAACTAGTTGATGTAATTGAACTTGTATCATATACATTGATTTCTTGACCATTTTTATACCAGCCAATAAATATTGGTACGGCACCAGTACCAGTACATGATAAGGACACTTGACTATGATGACGAATGGCCAATTGTATCACTTGATCATGATCCTGAACTGTTGATGGTAATTTATGTGCACCATTATTGCCACCAACACCATCATTACCATGTGGAATTACTTTCACTTGTATCTGTGGTGTTTGATATATGGTCAATGTAGCACGAGCTTCCAATGGTTTACCCACACCATTGGATACTTCACATAAGTATATTCCTTCGAATTTTGTTTTATCAATTGATCGAATTAATAATGAACCATTCTCAAGTACATGAATCTGTGGACTACTTAATATTGGCACTGATTCTATTTGTGATGATGATGATTCTCCGTTGTTATTATTTCTTACATCCATATTGTTTAATATAAGACGTTTCATGCGTAAAAATTTCCATCGTATCACAGGTGTTGGATTGCCTGAAGCTAAACAATCAAAACGAACCATACTGTTTGGATGATTTGTCATCATCATCATCATCATTGAATTATCCATTGGTATTAAAGGATTAATTGTTGGCTGTGTTATTGCTACTTTATTAGCAGGTTTTATTAGCCATTTAGGTGGTGCTTTTACACGCATTATTGCCGTACGATTTGAACTAGTATTCGGTGTTGTTGCAAGGCACGTATAAACACCTTGATGGCGTCTAGTTATATTTGTTATTATTAATGATGAAATAAATTCTTTTATATTGAGCACTTGTATATGTGGATCAGCTGATCTTGTTAATTGACCTAATAATGGTTGACCATTTTTAAGCCATTGTAAAGTGATTGGAGGATCACCAGAAATAACTGAACAAACAGCCGTTGCACGTGTACCTTCTTCCAATGCATCAGAAAATATAAATGGACTTAATACCGGTGGCATAACCGTATTAATATGAAATGTTTGCTGTGCACGTTGTCCATTTTCACCAATAACAATACATGAATAATCACCATCATCACTTTTATCGATCTGTGTAATAGTTAAATGACCAATTTGTGTGATCAAATGTCTTTCATCAAATGGAAGACGACGTTTAGATTTGACAAAATAAATTTCTTCAATTGGATATCCACTATAGGCACATTGTATGGATAATTGTTGGCCAACAACAGCCGTTTGATCAGCAATCGGATGTACATATGGTGGACCAATGATGCCAATCCGTGCCTGATGACCAATAGAACCGGCACGATTTATAGCCAAACAACGAAATTGGCCAACATCCTAGTGAAAATAGAAAATTTCAAATTATATTAGATTAATGTTGAACAAACACAAACACAAACAATACTAATGAATTCACTAATGAAATAGATGGTAGAAAAAAAAACAAAGGAATTAAATTGTAATTTTTTTTTTATTTTCGTTTCAAATAAATGTGCTGAAAATCTAGAGAAAGAAAAGTGAAAAATGATTGCAATTTTTTCCTTCGAAACAAACTGTCGAATCTATTTTGACGATTACGAATACCAAAAAAAAGATCAGAAAAAAAAGAATTAAGGAATTAATATGCGACAAACTTTTATTTCCGAACAAACACACACACACACGAAAGAATCGCATATATATGTAGTGTGTGTTAATATTGGTCGATGATTACGTGACCAAACACAATTGTAGGTAATTATCGAATACAAATCGAGAATTGTTGTTGATGCTGCTACTGTTATTTGCGTGTGTATACGATCGATCTGTGAATATCCGGCGACAAATGGACAAATGCATGGCAAACAAAAAAAATCACACAAAACCCTGAAACAAGCCAGTTATTTTTTTTTGCATTCAAAAATCATACGAAATACACGGGTATCAATGAAGTAAAATTATTTTCAATAACAAGAATTTTCGATGATGAAGATTTGTGTGATAAAATCAAACAAATTTTTTTTTTTTTTTTTGGTTGTTGTTCCAAGATGTGAGGATATAAAATATAAACGTCCATTGGGGACCAACATTGGTTATATTCACTTGAAATCGTTTGATATTATTTTTTTTGTGTGTGTGGGAAAAAAAATCGATTTTCAACCGATATTATGAGGATATTGTTGAAAAAAAATATTCGCCTAAACAACAACGTGAATATTTTCTTGGTGTGCATGCATCATCTAAAAAAAAAGAAAGAATGAAAAAAACCACAGCTGAATGATTTTCACATCATCATCTTTACCATCATCATTACATTGAGAATCGACGATGTTGAGAGAGAATTTATCATTTTTTTTTTTCTTTTTGGTTTATTATTAAAAATTGAAAAATAATAATAAAAAAATTCAACAGAGGCCACACGTAAGAGTGTGTGTGTGTGTGCGCGTTGGATCGTTGAAGCGTGCTGCAACCAGTACCTTTAGTTCACGCTTAAAGACATCATGATGACTGATGATGATTTCCATCAATTGATTATTGTCAAATCCATGAAAAAAAAGCACGATGCAAATATATATCCATATAACAGAAAACAAGATAAGTAACGGTATCGAAAAGTGATGGAGGGGGGGTGAGTGATAATATAATAATAATCGATTTTCAATTCTTTTGAATTTTATCATATAAAAAAAGAAATTGCCATTAGAGAGTGATACACTGTGTAAATGATGAAAAATTACCATTTTTCTTTCGGTTTTTTACTTACCGTGTGTGTAAAAAAATCTTTATTCCATAACAAGTGAAGAATTTTTCTTTTCTTTCTCTCTCACCCTAACCTCACTTTTACATTACCGCTAATAATGACAACAATAACAACAACAACAACAAAAACTGTCAACAATCGATCCACGATCAATTCAGATTTTAACGTATGAAACACACACAAAAAAACAACCAATAGACAGAAACGATTGCTATAAGTGTTAAATATGAATGAATGAATAACACCACTGTCATTATATTCAAAATGAAAGAAAAAAAATTCAATAGAAAAATGCATTTTCCACAAACACACTTTACCATTGTCATATGGAATAATGTCAAAATATTGAAAAAAAAAATTCTCTTTCTTTTTTGGATAAATAACCATGATTTTTTTCACGGAAAAATTGAAAAGAAAAAAAGAGAGAGAAAAACTGCAAACAGATTGTGATGTTGTGATGTTTTTTTTTCGCAAAAAAAAAGATAGAGGAAAACTTATGATCACGAAATGCGTAACAACGTGTGTGTGTGTGTGTGTGTGTGTGCGTTATTGGATTTTGCATCTTTGCATATTCTCTATTATTACAGTAAAGGTAAATAATAATAAATCAAATGAAACAAAAAACAAAAAACAAAACAAAAAAAAAGTTGAAATTGTCTGTGTGTGTGTGTGTACATTAATATCAATAAATATAAATTATTTACAACGAATATTCATAAATTTCAAATAACCGGAATTCTTTTTTTTTTTTTTTTTTGATGCGATTCGAGGGAAACCAAAAGTTCTGGATCAGCAAAAACAATTTTTTTTCAGTGTGTGTGTGTGTGTGTGTGTGGTGCAATGAAAATTATATGGTCGATATGAAAAATTTTTTTTTTCGCATCATAACTATTGACTTTTATATATTCTATGATGATTCTTGATGGCCAAGAAAAAATATAAATAGGAGCCAAGAAAAATGAAAAAACAACAACAACAACGGCAACGACAAAATGAAAATTTGAACATCTTTCTTAGCTCTCTTGGGACAATGAAATGACGTTCACATTTGTGTTGTTTGTTTGTTGTGTGTGTGTGGAGAAAAACTTATCATAGACACGCACACAAAACAAGAAAAAAAAATTTCGTTTTTACTTTCATTTTTTTTCTCTGTTACCATTGTTTTTCCTCCACCCCCCACTATTTTGCGGACAATTTTTCTTCAAACACGAAATTCTAGATGATGATGATGATGATGGCCATGCCATGCACACACACACACACACACACACACACACAATTCTGACTTAATAAATAAATGAATGGATGACAAGCAGACAGATCAGGAATTCGTGCAATGGAAATAAACAAACAAAAAAAAAAATTCTTTTGACCATTCTGTTATTTTTCGATTTAAAACTTTTTTCTCTGTCCATTGTTGTCTTGCCAGAACGAAATTGAATATGATCATAGACAAACAAAATGATCGACTTGCATATATAATTCTATTCAATAAAAAATCAATTGATTCAAATTTTTGGCCAACCATTAGGCAAAGGACATTTGTGAATTGTGAAACGAAACGAAAAAAAAAAATTTCAATAAGGTAAAATGAATAGTTTTTTTCTTACCATTACAAACTTACATATTTCCATAATATTGTCATTTATATTTTTTAAAAAAAACAATGAATTCTATTACAACAGGAACCGATTTGATTGAAAATTCATATTCATATTTGTTGTTATTATGGCAATTTGTTTTTTGTTTCAAATTCAATGTTTCAATGATAATGATGATGATGTAAAAGTTTCACTGAATAATGATGATGATGATGATGATAATAAAATTTTATTATTCACTCAACGAAAAAAATAAATAAATAAATAAATTCATTCGACAAAATTAGATTTTATCATCATCATCATCATCATCATAAACAAGTCAACATGATGAATCAAAAATTGCATCAATGTCATTTTGCTTGTCTACGATTTTATATATATAGATTGTCCTACTACGTTTGGACACATTCATATATAAAGTATATATTCATTTTCAACTTGTTTTTCTATAGAACACAACAAATTGAATGAGTGAATGATTTTAAACAATCAGAATAAAAATAAAAATAAATAAATACAACAACAATGGCTATACGAATGGAATGACAAGAATTGTTTTCGACAAGAATGAAGAAAAGGCAGACAGAAAAAAAATCTGCATGTAAAATTTTTTTTTATTCTGTTTTTGTATGCAAAGTTTGTGAATGAAAAGAATCATACTTTTAGCATTCATTCAGTATAGAATCTGTGTGTTTGAAATGAAGAATGAATGGAACAATTTTGGATGGTTTGCAAAAAAAAAAGAAAATGGAATAATTTACAACAAAAAGAATCAGAAAAAGAGAGAGAAAATTCTAAATGTACAAGAATTGTATATTTGGGAAACATTATTGAACTTGATGAAAATTGAAAACCATCACACACAAATGTGTGTGTGTGTGTGTTAGTATAAAGATGGAATATTCTTGCAACAAAATTAAAATGATGATGATGATGTGAATCATTATTATTCTTTCGTATGCATATTATTATTATTATATAATAAACAAATGATTGTTTTTTGTTTTTCAAACTATTGGCAAAAAAAAAAAAAATAAAAAATTCAACCCTTCTTCTTCTGCCGAACCCCAAAATCAACCAACCAATGGTTGAATTGGAAAAAAGATTTCTTGTTTTTTTTCCTCTTCAAAAACTAAAAAAAAAACATTTTAAAGGCTCTTCAACAAAAGTCTGTACACACAATGAAGTGAATGGGGAAAAACAAATGGATCCACCCATACAAACTTCAAAGAATATTTTTTCAATCGATGAAAATGAAAATGGTTGAGAGAAGTAAAAAAAAAATTTGAATAAAATCAACCATACAAAAAAAAAAAAAATGAAAAAAAAAAATGAAACAAACATTAACATTCAATGTATAAAAAGGGTACTTTTTCATTGTTCTTTCTCAAACAATTGTTGTTGTTGTTGTTTTCTCTCTTTTTACATGGACAAACATTCATTCATTCATTCATTCATTCATTCACAGGGCATCATCACGAATATTTCTCATTTTGGTTTTTTTTTTGCTTTCAAGAAATTTTTTTTTTTTTTTTTTTTTTGGTTCCACTATATGACGGAACGTGTTTTGTACAAGAAAAAAAAATATAGAAAGTAATAATAAACTTTAGTTATGCATTATTTAACACGGTAAATGATGATTACACATAATTCTCTTTGCGTGTGTGTGTGTGTGTCTGTGTCTGTGTGTCTGTTCCATAAAATGAAGATTCAAAAAAAAAAAAAAATGATGCATCAGTAGTGGTTACATCACTTCTTATATGATGATTTTTTTTTCTTGGTACTCTTGAAATCAACCAACCACCACCACCACCACCACCACCAGCAAAAAAAAACAACCAAAGAATTTTTTTTTTATACTCACAAAACTCATTTTCCATTTTGAAAATTTTCTGTTTCTCTCTCTCTCTCTCTCCGTTTATAAAATGAACAAATTTAAGGAGAAAAAAAAACTTTCCAATGAGCCGTCATTTATACTATTTTTTTTCCTGTTTGCCAATTCTTCTCTTTTTCGCATACAATATGCACGCTAAGCTTTGTTTAGATACGGTTTTTACGATTTTTTATATGAAGAAAATTATGAAATGAAAAGAAAAAACGTTTTTTTTTTGGCCATAGATGGAAAAATTTTTAAACGACACGAAACATGAAACATCATCATCAATAGTACCGATTTTCGAAATAGGAATTCAGATGAATTGAAATGAAATTTAAAAGAAAATTCTTTATAAAAAAAAGAGAGAAAAATAAATTATTATTGCATTATTAATTGCAAAGGCAGAATATCTACCCAAAAAAAACGTGTGTGCATGAACTGAAAAATGAAAATGCATCGTAGAATTATTTTTTTTATTTTTATTCTTCCAAAATTCTTTAAAATTTTTTTTTTCGTTTGCCCTGATGTTACTGGTGCTCATTTCAACGTCATTATAATCATCTGGGTTTCTTATATTCTCATCATTTTCATATATATACATTATAAATTATTTACATTTTCTTCATCATAATTCAAAAACAGCGAATTGGTGATTGAAGAATGAATGAATGAGAAAAAAAAATTCAAGAATTTCTTCTACCATTGTAGTAGTGTGTGTGTGTGTCTGTGTGTGTATGGAAATGCATGCATTTGCAAAAAAAAAAAAAAAATTCATTCGTCGACAGATTGGTTATTTGATATGGGACAAATTTTTTCTCCTTATTTTTTTCCATCTAATGATAATTCCTGTAATATATTTGGAGCTCGTGTAAATAATTCTACAATTTCAAATGAATTCCCTGGACAATCTTAAGATCTACCTTGTATACATTGTATACACCAGTATTCAAATGATGATGAAGAGAATTTTCTTTTCCTACTGCTTTGAATATATCAAAATTGCTCACATTGAGCTTCATGTTTACATCATCATCATCATCATCAAATGAAATGGTTAGAAGTAAAATTTTTTTTTTTGATTCTTTAACTTTGTTTTTTTCACGTTCATTCGATTTTTTTTCTCTTTTTATGGGTGTGTCATTAGACATTGAGATGATGACGATGATGATGATGATGAGACAGAAAAAATTTCATATGTCGGTGGTGTATGGTGAAAAAAAAGGATGGAAAATGAGAATTTTTCCTTCTTCTTTTCTTCTTCTTCTTCTTCATTTTCCTTTTCGATTATTAATATTATTTTTTGTCTGTTACATCTTTTCATGTGTGTGTGTGTGTGTGTGGAAATGCAATTCCCACAAGTGCTATAATGTCTCAATGCAGAAAATTCATATATGATGATGATGATGGGGCTTGATAAACACTACAGAAACAGAGAAAAAATTACTATTAGATCAACAAACACAATGCACTATGGATGATGATAAGAATATTTTGTTTTCATCATCATCATCATCGGTAGATAGGTAAGCAAATATGCAGGTCATTTCATTTCTGAATATTTTATCATCATCATCATCATCATCATCATTAATGTTATTACATCGTTGTTAGCATGATGAAACAAAAAAAAACCCGTCATATCATCATAAAATGAATAAAAATTCATAAAACAATGACAATTGTCATCAATAATTTTTATAATTTATAAAATGTATCATTTCTTGAATAATAATATTCTGAGAAATGATATTCGTTTCAAGAATCATTATAAAAAAAACACATTAAGATCGCCTGCACTGTGATAATGTAGGAATTCTGTTTAAACTAGCCAATGATAATCGATCGATACTTTGGATATAAAATTTTTTTACGATCAAAATTGTAAACGACTATTCACCAAAAACACTATCCAGTTATGTTTGATACTGACACAAGCAAATAATCGGACTTTTGGTTTTGGTTATTATTCGTGATCGGATATATATGTGTGTTTGCAACAATACAAAATGGATCCAGAATGAGAATTGTCATCGTTCTACTTTTAGTTTCTAGATATCTATCTATGTTATCACAAAATTCCATTAGACTATACAGTGATAGCTTGGTTTAATGGTTTGACCATTCATTAATAGATGGCCCATTTTTAATCAAAACTTTCTTTCGAATTCATAGTCGAGTTGTTTGATTCAGTTGTTCACAAACATTAAATGATAAACATTAGTTAACCGTGATGTTACCGTATATATAGTAGTCAATGATTATGGTTGGCCAAAATCACCAATGATTGTGGCCATTCAAACATTCACAAATATCACAATCACTAATATCGATTTCCGATAGTCATATTCATTTTCGCCATTGTCATCATCCATTTTATTTTGCCACTTTATCTTGTTTGCTTGCTATTTTTGGCTGAATAATTCTGTTTTCAACAGAAACAGAAAATTTCGATTCGATTTTTTTTTCCATCTTTATGTATTGTTTCGGTTGATAGTCATCAAGATTGTTGAAATTCACACACACACACACACACACATACACAGACACACGCAATGGACAAAATACTGGACATAAACATACATTAATTAAATGTAATGGCTCAATATTAGGCGAAAAAAAGAATCGTAAGAAAAAAGAAAATCATTCGATCCATGGAATGATTTTCTATGAATGAAATGTGTATGTGGTCAGTATTAACAGGATTTTTTTCTTTATTCGATTGATTTCTGATTCGATTAATCATCCACGATGTGTGTGTGTGTGTTGTGGGTGTTTATGTAAAAACTGACAAATAGAGAGAGAGAGAGAACAGAAAAAAATGAAAGTTTTAAACTTGATGTGAATTTCATTTCATCATTCAGAATTGAATAATGATCATCATGATCATTGAATGGATGGATGAAGACCATTAGAAGTTTTTATTCACGGAAAATTATTCTACTGTCCAGTATGAATCGTAGATGAATTCAATGAAATTGCATCTGAATAGATCATGTCATCAACAACAACAACAACAACAACAACGAACAAACAAACAAGAACAAGTATTTCCAAAATGGCTGGCCAAATAGTGCAAATTTCAATGAAGATGTAGATTTTTTTTTTCACTGTGCTCTATGTTTTCGTATTCAAATTTTTTTTTTCATTTCATTTCATCATGTATTCTAAATGGAAAATATCTACAAGTCAGAAAAGGAGAAAAAAAAACTAAAGTAAAGTAAAGTGTATTGGTTATGCAAAATAGGCCAACAACACACATGAACGAAAATCAAATCAAATTTTATATTAGGACGATGACTATTATTACATAGTTGAAGTTGGATTGGAAACCAAATGAACCTTGAAGAATTTGTTGTTGTTGTCTTTTTCTCTCTCTCTCTTTCTCTCACTGGTTCTAGGAAGGAAAAAAACTTTTAAATTTAAATTTCTTATTTTTCCATCCATATATAGATCAAACGAAAAAAATTTAAAATTCAAAATGATTTAGGTTTTCTATGAATAACAAACAAACAAACAAAAAAAAACACGGTAAACTACTAACCTGTGGGCGTAATGTACTTATGTTGAAATATGAAACTGTTTGAAATAAAAGTTGCTGTTCAGATTTGATTATTGTCGACGATGACGACGACGATGATGATGATGGTTGTGATGTAAAAAAATTTGTCGGTTTCAATTGAAATGTACTGGTTTTATAACGATATAAATGTTGTTGATTATTTGTCGATGATGATGATGATGATGAACCAGTGTATTGTAAATTGATTAAATTTGCATCCATATCTGTTAAATTGATTTGATTTCTTTGCCAAATAATTGTTGGTGCCGGTATACCTGTGGCCATACATTTCAATGAAAGTTCTTGTTGATTCATTAATATTTGTTCATTGAATGTTTGTATTAATTTTGGTGATGATTGATACATTGTTATCAATGTTGATGATTGTAACCATTGTTCAAAATCAGGACCACCATTTATCCGAACAAAACATTGATAAATACCGGCATCCGAATATTCGAGGTCATATATTCGAAGCACGTTTCGTTGATGGCCAAAAATTTCATAATGTTGTTGTTGTTGTTGTTGTTGTGGATTATTCGATGATTTACTGGTAGAAAAAAACCTTTCAGCATTTGTTCGGACATATTTGTTGTTGTCATTATTGAAAACATTATTATTATTATTATGATCAATAGTCGAACTGATTGGCACTTGATTATGATACCAGTAATAAGTAATCATAAAACGTGATTGTAACACTTGATTTAACAATTTTATACGACGATATTTCACTAATTCTGGATCAAGATTTGTAGATGATGATGATGATGGTGATATAAAATCATCATCGATATGATTATGATCCAAATCATTATCATCATCATCATTTGGTTCATTCATTAATGGTGGTAATAATGATAACAGATCAAACATTGTTAATAAATGTGTTAGATTACATGATAATGTTAATATATCACCCGGTAAATATGGACCTGAACCAGTACGATGTGTTTTATGATTCATAATAGTCATATTTAAATGTAATAAACGTTTTGAAAGTAAATCAGTTTCATGGCGAACTTGAAAATGAGAATTATTGGCAACACAAACATAGGTACCAACATCACGAATTGTTGGCTGATTTATACGAATATGACGGGCAGTTATTGTATAATGCGTTGACCATGATGTTGATTGTGATGATGATGATGATGATTGTAAAGGCTTTAAATGATGAGCAATAAAATCATCGACACCACCTGGTTGTCGCCGGTAATGTTTTGGATCAAAATAACTGAGAAAATACCAAGTAATATTTGGTGGTGGTTGAGCATCAAATGAACAATAAATATCAATTGGTTTATGTGATAAATAATGATTTTGATGACGGTTATCATCACCATCAGGATAATCATTATCATCATCGATTGTCAATGTACGACGTAATGATGCATCCAAATTATATCGTGGTCTATACGAAATGTGACTTGATTGATCTATATGTATATATTCGATAAAGAAAAACAAAACGAAACATTAAAAAACCCAAATCGATTAAGGAATCAATTATCCGGTCATCATTAGATTTATTACAATCAATTTATACATCAAATGGCTTAGTATTTTATGGCTTTTTTAAATAATGAAAAAGCCATTTTTAAACACTAAAACTGATTAAGAATGAAGAGAAAAAATAAAATCATTTACCTCTTAATTTAATTCTAGCCCAATTGGATGAATCGTAACGTTCACCGGTTAAACGATGTGCCATACGGCAACGAAATTGTCGTCGTAGATCATTCGTACGGATGGCGGCAATCAATAGCTCACCGGAAGGCAGTACATAATATCTTGTATCAGCTGGTATATCTATGGGGAAATATAAATCATCATCATCATTATCAACAGTGATAAATATTTAGAATGAAAAAGTGAAATGGTAAGCATCGTTTTCATTTTGTGTAACAAGAAAAACATCCAAAGAAAGTTTTTTTCAGATGGAAAATGAAAAAAAAATTCCAGATAAAACTAAAACAACGAAAACAACAACACAAAGACAATATTGCTGGCTTGCAATTTTGAATTATTTATTAACTTTCAAGTTGTGAATTGTATTTTTTCATCATTTTCAAATGGCTGCTGTTTGTTGTTGTTGTTGTTTTTTGTTCCGTTATCAACGTAATCAAAACCATTTTGGACAATGAAACAAAAAAAAATATGATAAAATGGTCAAGATGTGTAGAACATAATAACAGAATATCATGAATTATCGATTATTGGTCAATATCGTTTCAATATCAGAGAAATAATGGAAAAAAGATAGCCCACATGGGCATTCACTACTTTATTTATTATTTGGTTCAAATGTTATCTTTTGTGCCATTTTTCTTTGGTGTTCAGGGATTCATTCATTCATTTTTTTTGCATTTGAAAATTGTTTCCAAATAAAAGAATGATGATGATGGTGGAAAAAAAAAATTTGAGGTCAACTAATATTCAATTTGATCGATTGACAAGATGATAATACGTTGGTAATCATAATCAAAGATTAGTTTGCTGTATAAAGTAGATTTTCCTTGTAATTTTAATATCAATAATATATAAAAATGAAAACAAACACAACGAAAATCGACACGAAAAAAATCAATATCAGAATAAATGAACATGATTAGCAAATTTTGTTATGTACAGAAAATTGAAAATCATTTTTATCAATGTTCATTGTTAACTAAACACACACATTTTTTTTTTTGTTTATTTTTCTCCATTCAAATTCAGAATCGCCCAATTGAATTGATTGAAAGACTATGTTATTATTATTATGGTCAGCCTGAAAAAGCCATAATGATTATGATGATGATGGGCAGAATTATATATTCAAATAAATGACAAAGATTTTTAGGCGTTTGTTTGTAATCAAAAATTTTATCTTGTGTGTGTGTGTATGTGTGTGTGGTCAGTGAAAAAAAAATTCAATATTTAACCCTAATTGATTAATGTTTAAATGACCATAACCATTAAGTGAATAAAAATGAAAAAAAACTGACAATATCAAAATGAAAAAAAATCATTCATTATGGTACAAGTGTGTATGGCACAAAAAAAATGACCAAAAATGCAAAAATCAAAGATAAAACAAATTATTGTTTAGCAGAAAAAAAGGTAGGACGCCTTTTTTCTGTTGATGATGATGGTCTGATAATTGAAAACAATCGATTTCAATCTTGAATATGTGTGTTTTTCATGCAAAAAAAAATGGCATGAAAGATTACAGCCAACGCCAAAACAAAAAACAACTAGCTGTATAACTGAAAGAAAAAACCTGACACAAAGAAATTCAGGTTTACAAATCAAATTCTTTGAGACAGAATAAACTCGAAATGTAATTGAAAAAAAATAACCGCGGTGATCAATAATTTAAGAAAATGAAATCAAAAACAAAAAAAAATGATAAATGTGAAAAAAAAAACGTAAATCTTTATCTTTGTTGATTGTCATTCTCGTTTTTTTTTGTGTCGTTCATCATCATCATCATATCGATAATACATTTTGGATTTGATGAAAATGAATGAATGAAAAAAATATTTCAAATAATAGTCACATTTGGGTGCCATCATAAAAAAGGCAACCACCACCACCGCCAGCACCAGCACCAGGAAACCTAAGTTAAATCTGAAATATCACAAGAATATACAACAGAATTCTGTTGAAAAAAAAACTGAATCATACACACACACACACACACACACGCACACGCGTCCAGAATATATTAGATGAAATGATGATTATTGAAAAAGGCGTTACTATTCAATTTATTTTTTTTCATTTTGATCCTGATTTCATGTTCAAACACAAAACAGTATAGAATCCAATGGCAAATGATTGTGAATGAGTAAAAATGTTGCCTTTTGATGTCATATACACACTGATATACAAAAGAATCGAAAATTTTTTTTTCCATAGTGAATTTTAGTTAAACAAAAGAACGAGAGAGAGAGTGAGAGTGGAAAAAAGTTAATTTCATTTCTCGGTTTCACTAAAACCAAAAAAACAAAAAACAAAACAGAAGAAAAAGATTCAAAAGTATTCAATCTTTTTGATTTTCTTGTTACATTTTTTTTTTTTTTTTTCATTTTTTCAATTTTGATTTTGATTTTTTTTTGTTTTCGTTTCAATTGAAAATCAAATTGTGGTTAAGAATTGATAAGAAAAAAGTGTGTTAGCACACACACACACACACACACACACACATCACACACCCAGAAAAAAAGAAATTCTCCTACGAATGAATGAATGAAAATGAAATGAAACAACGCCTTAAATGTAATTGTGAGCGCGCGCGAATGGTTCTAATGACTATGCCAATAACGACAGTGAAGCCAACTTTTTTTTTAATGTTAAGTTGTTGCACGAAAAGTATGGTATTTGCATAAAATTTTAATTATCCAACAATGTGAAATAATGAGAGAAAAAAACAATGATGATGATGATGATGATCAATCTAATCTTGTTCGGATATAATTTGAACCAAAATGAATGTTCAATTTTGTTCATTTTATTTCAATCATATATACGGCTGCTTTTATTTTTTTGTTCTGTTGATTATATTTGCATAATATTTGCGTGTCCCATGGAACAACGATTGTGATAACAACAACATCCGATTATTGAATTCAATGAGGTCGTAGAGAAAATTTGTTCGAATAATCAATAAATGAGCTAGAGATAGAGAGAGAGAGAGAAAAGCATAAATGTTTCGAGGCTAATAATAATCATGATGATGATGATGATGATTATTGTGAATAATTTTCAGTGATGAAAACAATTTACATTGAATTGCAATAAAGAAAGCGAAAAAAAATTGGAAATAATTATTCCAATTGGCCATTGTATTTGGTATATCTTCTTTATGGTGATAATGATGATTTTTTTTTTTGGTTCACGGATGATTCAAATTCTGAATAAATTCCTATATATATTGTATGTATTTATTGTCATTATAGATGCAATTATATGCAATTTTTTTTTTCTTTACCACCACAGTAAACTATGTTTCCGTGAGTGTGGTTAAATCACGATGCTCAGAGTGGCAAAAAATGGAAAAAATAACCAATTTGAAACACAAGGAATACGAATCATAATTGTGTGACTAGAAAAAAAACTGATAATTTCCATATATCATAACAATGATATAACAAACCATAACCCAAATGAAGAGTGACAACAATTATTCAAATTTTATTCTTTCTCGTTCACCCTATAACACACCTATATGATAATGATAACAATGATTATGATGATGACAAATGAAAAACTACATTCAGTTTTTTTTTCTTCACTGATTTGACGTTGTTAAGTGGTATGTGTGTTCAACTTACACACACACACAAAAAAAAGTGGACATGTAAACCATAGAATAGTGAGAAAAAGACAAACTATTGTTGAGAATGTTGTTTTTAGTGGAGGAAAAAAAAGAAAAAAAATTCTGTGCTGTGCGAAAAACCTTAGCAGAGCAAAAGAAAGCCCACCCCCAGAAAAAAAAAATTATAAAATCAATTCACGTATTATTCAAGCATTCTCTCCTTAACTCTTGATGTTGATCTTAGTGTTTTTTTTTTTTTTTTTTTCTTCTTCTTCCCAATGTTTATATATATATTCATTTTATTCTCATCTGGATCTCACGGAATTATTCAATGAATGAATTCTGGTGTTTTTTTTTTTTTTTTTTTGACGATGTATCCGGACAAAATGGATGAAACTAGAGCATCGTTTTTTTTATTATAAAATTTAATTAATTTAATTTTCATTTTCATTCCTGAAACACCAGAGAAAATAAACGACACTCCATACACACACACACACACACACACACATGCACACACAAACTTGGAATTGACGTTTACACAGTGTTACAGCCTGGTTACGATGAGAATTTATTATTGTTGTTCATCATCATCATCATCGTAGACTATTGAAAATTAAAAAAAAAACACACAGAAACCAAACGACAAACAGCCACGATCCAGAATAAAAAAATACGCAATGAAATAATGATCCATGATCATTAATCTTTGAATGAAATGAACCAACACAAACTGGTGGATATTTGGGTGGGTGAAAAAAAAACAAAAATAAAGCAAAACAAACCTAGTTCAAGTGAACACACACACACACACTTTGTATGTATACGTAATATATGAATTCAAAATTTCATCTTTCATGCAACCAAAAAAAAAAAAAAAAAGGTTAAAAGGCTCAATGTTTGTGTGTGTGTGTGTGTGTGTGTGTGTGATGAAAACAATTGAAAATCAAAGAAAAATTGAAAACTAAATCAAGCGAAAATTTCTTCATCAAAATAAAAAAAAAATCGTGATCGGTTATCATACACTATATATATATGGGAATCATTGTCAACGTATAAACAACAATCGGGCGAAGAAAAAAATCATCATCATCATCATCTTCTTCACTCAATTATGGGGAGGGGAGGACAGAGAGGAACGGTGGTTCTCCCTATTTAATCTATATTAATCTATAATAATGATGATTTCATTAAATGTTTTTGTGACTTTTTTTTCTGCTATAGATCGTCGAGATGATTCTTCATCATGACTATGTTAAATTTTGTTTTTGGCTTTTTTTTCGAAAATCTATAGATCGTCAATATTGATGTGATTGAATTTCGTTCTAAATGAAACGAAAAAAAACACACACACACACACACAGAGAGAGACAAGAAAAGCATCGCAAAAAATGGCAAGAAAAATAACAACAACGAAAAAAATCAATCTTCAAACTCTGTTTGGGTTTCGAGTTTTTTTTTCCATATAAATAAATAAGGCCAACTACTACTAATGTGTGTGTGTGTTTGTATTCTGTATACACACCATCCATCCAATGGTATGGAAATGTCGCCATGAAAAAAAAAATCTTTCATGGAGACAATCTGTCAAATTATAAACAACAACAACAAAAATTGGGGATGGGAAATAGTTGGCCTTGGGGATCCAAAACAGAGAAGAAAACGATGCAATAATTCCATACGCAGAGAAAAAAAATAGGAGCGAAGATCAAAAGGTTAAGTATTTTTGAAGTAAAAAAAAAAAAATTTTTTTTTTTTTTTTCTCTCTCTCTCTCTCTCTCTCATTGAATTCATCATGACACAGAATGAATGAATGAATGTGAACACAACGATAAAGATGAAATAAAAAGAGTACCATTTTCCGAGAGAGAAAGTAAAGAAAAAAAAGAGTGGTTGAGTGATTTATTGAATTTCTACTTTTTTTTCGGCTTGAATCTTGTTTTTTTTTGCTTGCTGTTATTATTATTTTTTGTTTCATAAACACACACAGTATATGTATGAATCAAGCAGCAAGCAAGCAAGCCAGCCAGCCAGCCAGCCAACTGAGCAAATATCGTTAGATAGACCAATGGAATTACTTGGAATCATCAGGAAAAAAAAAAATTTTTTCATTTGCCAAGCATATCATTTATAATTCTTTCTAGATTCATTTTCGTTGTTGTTGTTGTCGTTGTTTTTGTTGTTGTTGTTGTTACATAATTAATTATATTCGGAATCCAAATTAATACCCGTAATGTTCATTACAATGGTTGAAAAATTGTTCAAGCGGTCAACGGTGTGTTTTGTGTGTGTGTGTGCGTATGCTAGATTCTGATGTCGTTGCATCTCTCACATAACAATGACTACAAACAGAGTACAAAAGTCAAAACATTTGAACCGAAATTTTTGTTCAAAATGAGAAATACGAAAAAAAAATTCACAAACAAAAATGATGAAAATCTACAATCACATACATTTTTTCTCTAGTTTAGTTTCAGATTTTCACTTCAACGCTTTCCATTTTGTGTCAACATTCGTGAAACAAAACAAAAACTTTTGAAAAACAAAAAAAAAAAATATGAAGAGAAACTTGAAAAATTCATATGAATTTGAATTAAAATTTTTGTAGAAAAATAAAATGATGAACAAAACAAAACAAAATAAAGTAGAAAAATTATAATTAAAAAAAAATGCAATGCTTCAAAAATGAAATCATCATTCATTTTGGTTTTTCGAGATTTGAAACCATTAAAAAAAAAGAATATATTCTGTATACTTACAAAAATTCGTATAATAACTATAACCATTACCATTATGATGATGATGATGTTGTTGTTGTTGTTGTTGTTGTTGTTGTCCAGTATTTGAACCATAGTTGCCCATAGTAGTTGTGATCATATCTTGTTGTTGTAATTGATATTGATAATCAAATGGTAATATAATATCATCATCATCGGTTATCCATGCAACCACTTGATATAGATCAGATGTACTTGTACATTTTATTATTGCATCATTACCATCGGTTACAGTTGTATCGTATGCACGTATACTTGGTGGTTGTATGTTTGTTGTTGTTGTTGTTGTTGTCGTTGATGATGCTATGCTGGATGGCGATGAAGATGACGATGATGATGATGAAGATGCAAAATTCTTTTCAAAAACTACAATGAATGAGAGAGAGAGAGAGAGAGAAAAAAAGACAAAAATGAATGAATCTGAAAATTTTTTAATAATTCATTTTGTTTCCACTTATATATCGTCATTATTTCATGATGATGATGATGATGATGGCTGTCTATTTTCATTTGAATCGCTCATTTTTTTTTTTGGTTCAATTCTTTTTTTGCGTTTTAATAATATTCTGGGTGACAACCACCACCACCACCACCACCACTATGCTCATTATTCAAAACATTTACAATTAATGAGTGCGTTGTGTGTGTGTGTGTGTGTGTGTCTTATTAATTTTATGATGTGATAATTTCTTTTTCTTTCTTTTTGCATCAATTCTTACATTCAACTCAATTATCGTCATCATTAGGATGACGATGATTATGATATTCATGATTCGAATGAATGAATAAAGAATATTAAAATGAATGAAAAAAAGAATGAAAAAATCTAGTAATCAAAAGAATATAGAACAATGAATATAGGCAGATGTCAGTTTTCATTGCTCCATCATCATCATCATCATTGTTATCGATGACAATTAAAACAATTATATGCAATGGCATCATCTCCAAACAAAAAAAAAATGATTTAAACAAAATTGAAAGAAAGAAAAGTTTTTTTTGTTCTCTCGGTCAAAGTTTCATTCTTGTTACAGATTGTTTCGATGTTTTTATTATGTTTCGGAAACTTTCTCACCTAACGAAAGAAAGAAAGAAAGAAAGAAAAATTTTTAGCCGATGATGCTTCCTTGGCCGATCTGGTGAAACACACTAATCGAAAGCAGCTAAAGTTTTCTAGTCGGCCAAAAAAAATAAGAATAAAAATCTTCATGATTCATGTCATAACATTTTGACAAAAGCAAAAAAGACAGAACTAAGAATGAAGAAAAAAAAGAATAAAAATCTTATCCACAAAATAGCGACACATGTTTCGTTTGAAATTGTTGTTGTTGGAAAACTTTATTTCTGGCCTCATTCGTTTTTACCAAATTGACCAATTTTTTTTTTACCAGAAAGTGTGAGTGAAAAACAAAAATCATTTCCAATACACACACACACACACACACACACACACACACAGGCAGACAGAATAATCAATATCCATTCACAGTTGTGTTAATCGAATGGGCATAATAATGAAAATAATGATTTGATCAATGGTTCAATAATGATTAGAATTAATGTGCCGCAACTTTGTTTTTTTTTGTCTCTCTTTTCTTGATCATCATGGTGGCCATGATAATAATGATGATGATGATGATAAGAAAATGACGACAACAGAAGTAGTAATTTCTGAACTCGACAACTCGATTAATTTCTTTTGCTTTTTTTTTTCTCATTCATTCATTTGTATTTTGTCGCTGCTTGTTGTTGTTGTTGTTGTTGTTGTTTATATCGAAACATTCGAAACAACAACAACAACAACAAAATGACCGATGGATACAAGTGTAAATGATGGAGATGGAGCATTGTGTATGATTGATTCATTTTTTATATATAGAATATTTATCCAAATAGAATTTCTATTTTCTCTTTGTCTTTCCTTAGTTTCAAACAAAACAGATTTAAACATAATCAGATGCCCTGTATTAATTTTTCTCTTCATATCAATCCTTTGATATTTTTAAAAGTTCAAGTTTTCCGGTTTTTCAGTTATCGGATTTTATACCGACAATTTCTAAATTCCGTTATAAAATCTGAACTCGTTTTTTAAATTCCCATTCTAGTTTGTCTGTGATAATTGTTTATATTGAACAACATGACAACATGATAACATGATGGAGACGAGAAACCGGAAAAAATAACAAAAATTTTTGAGGAAAAACTTTCCACCAACCATCAACCCAAAAAAAAAAATTCCGGAACATCTGATGATGATCAGTAAAAAAATTTCAAGCTTTATACACACACACACACACAAATTTTTCTCACATCACAGAATAAAAAGTAAATTTAATTTTTTTTTGTTTTGTTTTGGAAATCCGGATCAAATCAATTTCAGTTTTATCATCATCATCATCATCATCATCGTCATTGACGTGTATATTATGTTATGATATATCGATGGATGGAGGGTAAGTAAAAAAACAATGTTTGTTCACACACACACACACACACACACACACACACACCCACGCACGACAATATAATATCCGTTGCATTAAAAACTGTAAAAGACATCATAATCAATTGATGATGTTTGGACAAATTTAACGAGCAAAAACAAAACAAAACAAAACAAAATGCAATGTTCCACTGCTGCTGCTGTCATTGTCAATGTCACTGTGGTGATGGTGTTTGATGTATCACGCTATCGAAAAAATTTGAAAAAGAAAAAAAATTTTTCCACAGATTTCATATATTGTATAACAGAATTGTATGTCATTCAATTTTCATTTTCCATAATGTTATTGATTTCTTTTGCTTTTTTTTGTGCATCTCCATAGATGTATGCGTGTGTGTGTGTGTGTTTGAAATATTGAATGCGAAAAAACGAAAAAAAAATTCCATTCCAACACTTACCAACAGTAACATGTATTGAACGGGAAATAATTCTACCTAAACCACCGTTAAATTCAACAACACAACGATAAAGACTATTGTGTAATTCATTTGCAATACTTGTATAGGCTGTATTCATATTGATTTGATTATTGTTATTATTGTTGGACGTTGATGATGATTTAGAATCAATCGATGATGATGATGATGATGATGATGATTGTTCATAACCAAAAGGCATAAATGCTAATGAACCATCTGAACGGTGTTCACGTATACCGGTTACATCTAATGCCGGTACATATTGTTCATCATTCAATGAACGTTCATCACGTACTTCCCAATATATTTTTGATATTAAATTTTCAATATCATATTCATTATTATTGTTATTATTATTATTATCAAAAAAATGACCATCTTTTGATCGTAAATGTGATGCTGTAAATGATGATGATGATGATGATGATGTATCAAGTAAAACTTTTCGAAATCCAATTTGACAAGGCAATTGATGACCATATTGATTGGAATATTTTACAAATCCATATGGTTCTTGTATAAAATATGGTATATAAGCTATATTTGGCCAAATATTTGTCGATAACAATGTTGCCGATGATGATGATGATGATGATGGTCCATTCGATGATATCGATGATAATGATGATGATGATATTGAATTAATTGATGAAGTTGATGATGAATGAAGCTCATAATAATGATGATGATGATGTAATGTTTCAACATATGAACGTATCACTCGTCGTAGATGTTCACCACCACTACTACTGCTACTACTGCTACTACTGTTTGCGACCATTTCCGATGATTCGTTATTCCGTTGGAGAATATTTTCATCTAATAAGAATGTACAGAATAAAAAAAAAAAAAAAGAATCAAAGAAAAAAAAATTGAATTAATTTTTAATAATTTAAAATGTGGATTTTTTTTTCTCAACAAAAACTTTTTTTTTCTCCATAGAATCAACAATGAATGAATAAAAATATTCTGCAAATCTAATAACGATAAATTCGTGTGTGTGTGTGTGTGTATGCGATGTGTGTATTTTGAATTTTAAATTTCTTGAAAAGTTCTTGGTCTTAGTGTTCTATAGAAGCTTCAGGCAAATTTTATTCCACACTGATGATAATGATGATGCGAACAAATCGAATAATAATAATAATAAAATGATCCAACAGAATGGAAAAAAAAAAAAAAAATTTAAATTCTGCAAAAGAATTCTAAACAGTCAAAATTAGAGAAAATAAAATTCGTGTTCGGGGGGGGCGGTTATTATTCATAACGAATCATCAGAACATATTATAGATGTATGCAAGTATTGCACATTGATCCAGAGAAAAAAAAGAAAACATCCACTGAAATAAAAATGACAACAACAACAACAACAACAAAAACGATAATTAGATTAATTTGACTTTTGTATGTTCCCAAAAATTCCAAATCCCGAAACAGCAGCAATGATAATAATAATAATAATAACAACAACAACAACAACAATCGAATCTGAAAGACCGACTCTGGTCGAGACAGATGAAAGGAAATTCGAGAAGAAAAAAAAACCAAAAATAAAACCGCAATGAAATGGAATAGTGAAATAAACAAGAATAACGTCAAATACTTGGTTTTGGCAATTAAATTAAAGACTTTTGACTTTGGAAATGAAACAACAACAACAACAACAACAACAACAAAAAAAACCGCAATGAGATCAAAGAATTCGAATATTTTTTTTTCTTTATTGGAATCATCAACTGGAACCATTCAAAGTAAGTAAAGATCAAAGACATTAAACATGAACTTAAATTGTGTGTGTGTGTGTGTGTGTGTGTGTTTGAGATGTCAATGTCATTGATACATCCGAAAGCAAATGATGGAAAATAACGACAAAAAAAAAAAAAAATAAAGTGTCCACCACCACCACCACCAATGGTGTTCATATAGTAAAAAGAAACACTGGAACATTGAAACAACTTTGTGATGGACATGTTTCATTCTTGTCATGTCGTTTGTTGTTGTTGTTGTCGTTGTTTTTTTTAATTTCAAATAAACAACAACAACAACAACAACAACAAAAAATCAATGAAATAAGCCAGATGTATGATATGATGATGATGTTGATGCACATGTCCATTTTGTTTATTCGGACACACACACACACACGCCTATTTGGATGAAAACAATTTTTTTTTTCATTTTATAGTATAAAGGCCCTGTAGACATGTGTTTGTCACGTTGACATGTCAAAACTATAAACTAAAACGACGACGACGACGACGACGACAACAACAACAATCTCATCGGCGTGTGTGTGTGTGTGTGTGTGTGTGTTTGCGTGGACAAAGTAGAATTTTCCATTTTGGATCAAGTGATCGATTGTTTCGTTATATGTGTGCATGTTGTATGGACAGGACAGAATTGACGATTTTCAAAACTGAGACACAGACACACACACACACACACACCGTAAAATGGATATTGGTCCACTATGGTAAAAGTTTCAATTCTTGAATCAAGGAATTTTTTTCTCCCAGTTTATCAATCAATAATTTATGGTTTTTGTCGTTTACAAAAAAAAAAGAGAAGAGATACGTCTCGATTCAATGGATTCTCTATGTGAATAGGGGAAAAAAATGCTCGGATTTTTTTTCCATGAAAAGTGAATCAAATTGACAAAGATCATTATGATCATATATACACTAATAATCATAACACAATTTCATCATTGAAGATTATGTGATTGAAACAAATCAAATATGGTGGTCATCATCATTTTTAATTAGTCGCCATTGAATGATTATTATATGGGCCACATATCCACATTTCGTTTGATTTTTTTTTTTTTTGATTTGAAACACGAGCCATTCTGTTGTGTGTTTGTGCATGTATCATCGAAAGAAAGAAGAAGAAGAAGAAGAAAAAAAAAACACCATACCATTGAAATGGTGTGGCAAGCCAACCATTTATTCGATTCGTTTCTACAATCATTCATTTATTCAAAGAAAATAAAACGAAGACAAGACAAGTAGGTTTTTTTTTCGTTGTTGTATTTGAAGAAATCTCAAAATCTATTTAGGAAGTTGAATAATGACCGTTATTGATAACTGATGTTAGGCAACGTTTTTTTTTCTCTCTCTCTCTCTCTCTCTCTCACTTTTTGTAACAATTTCAACCAGTCAACCCAAACCAGACATGATATCTATATGCACCAGAAAACAAAAAAATCGTTCCTGAAACATCGACATCGACATCGACAACGAAAACGACAGAGTTGATTTTTAATGGATGTTTTGCTTCTTTTCAAGAAAAAAAAGAAGAGAAAAAAAAACTACGAACGACAAAAAAAAAAAAGACAACGACCATACGAATTGTCTTGTTGTAAAGTTTTTTATTTTGTTTTTTTTTCTTTCTTTCTTTCTCCAAGTTCGATTAGAAAACGGGTAGAGCAAAAAGAAGCAAGCAAAAAAAAATTGATCGTCTTCATCGTCATCATCATTGTGATTGTCATTGTTGATGATGTTCTTACTGAATTCATTGTCAATAGTCACCATTTCAATTGATTGATTGATACACATACACACACACACAGGGTTCGATGTATTTTTTATTCTGTTTGGCAAATGTTTGAGGCAAATTCTGTTAGGTTTTTCACATTCCCATTGTTTAAAGAAAAATCTGGTGTTTTTTCTTCAACAGTAAAACAACAACAACAACAACAACAACAAAAAAAACCGATCGGTGAATCCAATAAGAAATATGAAAATAAATCAAAACGGTTGGCCTAAATATTTCAGAAATGAAAAAACAAAAACCAAAAATACAGCGATAAGTGGGTAACAAAAAAAACAAGCAAAAATATCAATTAGATTGGGTCGAGTGATTCCATCATCAGCAGCATTTTTTTTACACTGGATAATTGTTTCAAAATGATTCTTGTTACTGGTGTGTGTTTTTTATGTTCATTATATAATTATATCCGAAATATGATATGATTCAATTCAATTTTCAATGTTCAAAACAAACAAAAAAAAATTGATTCAATGTAGCCATTAGAGCTATATAATATACCCTGATACTGATAAGTTTAATTAGAAAAAAAATTTTTTGGTTCATTTTCGGATGTAAAACCCAAATGACAAAAAAATTTTTTTTTTTTTTGATGTAACAAAAAAAAGGCAAGATATCCATTGGGTTTTGGATGAATGAACCACACGATGGCAACAACAACATTAATAGGCTGAAAACAGAAATTCCAAATAAAAAGAAGACACTACTGATGTATTTATAGACGAAAAAAAATTTCTGCCATGCTGTACTGTAGTTCATCTTTTCAATTAGACAAACCAAAATCAAATGGACCGGATAGATGATTATTACACTAACCACACACACACACACAACAAACCAAAGTCTCGCTTTTTTTCAACCAAAAAAAAAAAATGAACCAATCGAATGAATGAATTTCATTTTATGGTGTGTGACATTCAACAAAACAGCAAAAAAAATGTGCAAAAAAAAAATTTTTTTTTTTGTTCCTGTTTTTCATGTTTCATCATCATCATCATCATCATCGTCGCTGTTGCAGTGATTGTCGTTGCCAATTTTTTTTTTATTTTTATTATTCTTTCCTACTTTTATTCTGTTTGCTGATGATGTTGATGATGATGATGATGATGATGTCTCAATTCATTCAATTCAAACAATGAATGGTAGTAGTAGTGTATTCATTTTCATTCTATACAGGATGAATGAAAATGATGATGATGATGATGATGTCTGTATGGCTACTAATAGCTTGCTAATATTTTGTCTTCGTATTTTTTTTTTTTTCACTATTCACTATGCCGGGTTGTATTATTCAATGTTGATGATGATGATGATGATGATGATGGTGAATTGACCAACCAAAGATTGTCCATGTATGATAATATTGTATGGAACCCAGAAGTGAAGTAAAAATAAAATGAAAAAAAACCGGACAAAGAATAAAAGACGACAGAATTTTGACAATGTTCCAAACATACATACACATACAACACCAACACCAACACCAAACTGAAGATTGAACTGTCGTACGACGAAAAGAACGAACCAAAAAAAAAAAAAAAAATAATGGAACTAGCAAGCAAAAAAAAAATTGACACTGTACCCATGGACAAGAAAAAAATTTTTTTTCCTTTTGCTCAAAACATAACCAAAAATTAACTGTGAAAATACGACAGGCCAAAAAAAAAATCAGCCCACCAAAATTCTATTTGTTATCATTACTTGGTCAATTTTTTTTCTGTACAGGCCAAAAGCAGTGTATATTATTGAGATTGATCGATAAATATTGAGGAAAATCAGTAGTCGTCTTTTATTCGAACATCAAAAAAAAAAAAAAAAAAAAGATGGCCAAACCGAACAATGGCTAATGATGATGATGATGATCAAAACCAATGGCCAACATTGAATGGCAGATCAAACATTTTTTGTTTTCTCCCTTTCCTTACTGCTTAGAGAGCAGCAGCAGCAGCAGTAGCCATTTTCTGTTTGATTCGAAAACACATTGTTCGGTTATTGTTGTCGTATGCGTTATTTTTGTTTTTGTTGATCAAAATTAATTCAAACAAATCCCTTACATATCGTACACACACACACAAACAACTGATACAAATGATGGTCATCAAAATGAACGACAAAAAGAAATGTTGAACCAAATTAATACTTGTATATATATAAAATGGTGTCGCCCAATAATCTGAAAGACAGAATTTTTTTTTGGCTAAAAGAAAACAAAAATTAATTATCACATTTTCATCAGAATTTAGTTGGAATCGGATTCTTTTTTTCAC